ACTAACACGCAAAAAGTTACTAATATATTATTTTAATAAGTGGGAACAAACTTTAGAACATATTATCTGAATTTTCATTGATCAATGAATAGCAAACATTTAAGAGCAAAAGGAAATATTTCATCTGATTCTGATGTAAATGTAAAATATATATTTTTAAATAATATTTCTTAAATATCTGATTTAAATGTCAAGGAAATATTTATAAGAAATATTGTTATAATATTCAAGAATCTGTCGCTTCAACCTATATTAAATATTGCAAAAAAATATTACTGTAATATTTGTGTGCTATCTGGGCAGTAGTTTTTTTATTGGAGTTCCAAAACATTGATCGAAATACTTGCATTTTAATGCACACGTTGATTACATGCGTTTTATCACATAACTTCACGTCATAACCTCACTTTACAACATCAGTTTTGATTGTTTACAAGAACATTTGGATATCGAAACGCAGCTAGATGTTACACAGAAAAGTTTTCTTGAACAAATTTGTGCATCAAATACTAAATGATGTTTCGCGTTAAAACTATCACAATTTAAGTTTTTTTAACTGAGTACTCAGCCATAAATACGCAGGACGAGCATACCGGTTTTTTGTTGGGCTTAGCTTGCAAATGGCGCATTGAAAATATTGTTACAAACTTTAAGTTTTGAAGAGCGCAATTTCGAAACCAACCTAAAATATCAAATATCTGCCTGCATAAATGATTGCCGTTGTGGCGCGTTTTTCAAACTTTATAGAATTGGACTTTTTTATATGTATAGAAATTTTGCAATGCATTATTTGAAATGTTTTTCTGCATTAACAGTCTCTCAACTGATTCTTCAGCTAATTTATTCGAGAAATGAGTCCAAACCACCAGTTCTGAGATTTTTTCCAACAGTTTTCAAAATTTTTCTATTGACGCCAAGGCTTTGAAAACAAATTAAAGTATTGAAAATTACCACTTCGGGCCTTCGACCTGTTTCCCTTGGTCAAATGATATCGGAACTTCTGATCAGTGAAAAAAGGTGAATAAAAAAAGCTGTAATGGACGAAATGTATATCTTGGCATCAAACACGAAACTCCCAAATAAAGCATAGGGGCACAAGCATTTTCTGTTTTTGTTGTCTGAAATTGAATAGTGGACAAACCGCGCCGCCCTAGGTTTATGCGCACCCATTGAAAAGAGAGCTTCGGGCCAGAAACAGGACAAAAAGGACGAGTGCAGCCCTTAGGACCGATCTAGGACGTACGTCGAACGGGACAGAGCTGTAAACTTGAAACGCCAGCAGGAAACGGGACTAAAAGTGGGGGACGCAGGACTCTATACGCGAGAATCTCTATTCTCTATGTTCCCGGGCAGAGTGTTCCTCCTGTCAAATAATCTTTGGACCTTCATGTGTGTGTGGGTGCCTCCGATGTCGCGTTATCCCAGTACATAAAATCGGACTATTTAGGACGATTATTCGCGCTTTTTAGGAAAACTTTGCTCAACTCTGCCTGCAACGTGGTTTCGGGTCAAACTTTCGGATTTTAGCTGCTTAGTGAGTGCGATCGACTCAGGAATAACATTTTGGAATCGTGTTTGTATGCAGAAAAAAGTTCAATGCGAAAGGCTTAACACACGCATATATTAAGTAAGTTTTATATCAGATGTTTTAAGGCTTTTGAGGTTTTTCCTGTACGAGAATCGACTGCATTTTTAATTATTGTTAACAACTCAGATTTGAGACTTAGATAAAAAAAACACATATTTTGGGTAAGAACTCATGGGTTCAATCCGAATTGGACTAATTGCAACTGATCAGTAGAAATTAGACGATTTTCCATTTTATTTTTATTCTTATAGTAACTCAAATTTAAAGCATAGTTTAAATATTCCCTATCATCCGATTTTGATAATTTTTTACCGAATCAAAGCTCTGTTATTAATAATAAAGTTTATTTATGCCCAGAGCGAAAAAAGTATACGATGTTATAACCTCATGTCTTCGGAATAATTGGGATCTTTAATCGTCCGTTTGTCTTCAGTCATTCGAGGGATTTTAATATTTTATGATCGGTCATATGTTCCTCGAAAAATGTACACAAACGTTTTATTATTTCCCAAAAAATTTCAATTCTGGAAAGAAGGCTTTGCTTACAACTGTAAGCTTGAAATAGAATGTTGTCTGCTCAATCTTCTTCGGAACTAAAAAATAACGATTAATTTAATTTAACGCGGAAATTGTGATCGGGATATGAAATGAATATCCTTCAAACGGCTCAAGATAAATGGACGGCTAAAAATTAAAATTAATCAGAAGATATAAAATAGTATGCCCTTTTTCTGTCTGAGCTACGCGATCTTGGCTGCAGACGGATTTAAACTATGACCAAGAAAAAATCTCATTATTTAAACACCCTGTACAATACCTTTATTTTATAATTTTTCCTTATCTTATAATCTCATTTAGGCATTGCGTGAAATTTGCGGAAAGTACCGGCTTTTGAAGGTGTTGTTTTCCAGTTGATGGCCAATAATAAGCATATTGAGGAGCCTCTATTCTTGCAGAAGAATGCAACCATATGAACTCCTGTTCTCATTCCAATAAATTCATTTTCCGAACGTCCATATTGATCATCTGCCCCAATGAACATTCTTTTGGCCTTTGTGTAATCGTTATTCCATCTAATGGAAATTTTTCTATTAAGGCAAAAGACGATGATTTGGATATTTTAAATCTAAACTTGGCGTGTCAGAGTTATCGCTTAATCGCCACTAAAATATCAACCCTTTTCTCATATTAGTTTTTCATATTTTTCTTTATTCCACATTCTCTATAAAGTCGAACCAGCAACTGTACATACAGGCTAAATAAATTAAAGCCATTTGCTCTAAGGCTTTGTGTGCATTTTGTAGCAAATTGTGAGACGTTTAAGCGGCATTTAAAACCAGCAGTGTGAGGTGATCGTTTATGGTCGTTAACGACATACTAAATCCCATATTTATACAAGTCTATGGACCATCAAATGGCAATAAAGTGAACCCCCCATACAAACAAACACCCATATAAAATCTTTATTTAGGCAGTTAGAGCTTAATAGAGTAACAGAGCTCCTTTTGAATTTTTTTTTTATTATTTAATGGCTGGCATGAAAGCGAAGTGCTAGTAACTTTTGTTGGCTCAGATAAGGCCCTTCTTATGCGGTTTTATGGATCTTGATACAACTAGTTACGTTTTATTTGCTTGAATTTGTCGTTTTGCGTAGCGTAACAATGTTCAAATGTATCCAGAGGAATTTCACAAATAATTCTTGCATTCTATTTGGCTTCCGAAATTAACTGTTAATTTAAGCAAAGGGTCTTCTGGATTAATCATTTATGCGATTTCTTCATATATTACTCACTTTTCACTTTACACTTCTTCATTTTCCTTTCCTATATATATCTACAAGTGTGTGTTGTGCTCATATGAATGCATATGAGCTTCATGAGCCTGCACCAGTAAGGCCTCGACCCGACTGGTTACAATTCAATGCGATTGCCGAGGCAAACCTAATTCCTCTGCAGATTAGTCTTTGTCTGCGATATTCCGGCGGATACATAATTATTCACATCTCAACAATATTAAATTCAGATAAGACGATATTGCCACCTGCCTCTGGTGCGCTTTCGTTTCCGCAAAACCAACCTTTTACTGAAAATCGTATTTTAGCTGCTGCATTTTTTTAGATCTTCAATCATACTTACCCGCGTTTGAATTGAGAATCCTTCTAAGTTAAAGAGCTAATTGAGGCGATGAAAATGCGGATGTTTTCCTGGGAAATTCGACAATCTCGGCTTTATCAGCATTAGGCAAGCGGCATTTCCCACGTCCCATAACAATATCGATAATGTTGACTGGGAATAAAATTAGCATAAGGCCATCCCATGTAAACATCCGTATTCAGAAAACGGATTGTATTCAGGATGGCAGGTATTTAAAACAGGTTGAGATCCGGGCTTTTGTAACCCCTCGACTTATCCGCTCTCGAAAAGTATTGACGCTGTTCCCAGCAGCGCTTCGGGATCCTTTATTTGTCTCCCCTTCCCGTGTTTTATTTTGCACTTCGCACTTCCACTGCATCGGGACCCACCCGGCTTTTATTGCTCCCGATGAATATGTGTGGGAGCTTTTGGAGAACCATACAAAACGCGATTGATTAAAATCCAGATTAGCTTTGATTTAATCGGAACGCCGATCCGGGCAAGAAGCGAGAAACTTTGTTTCAACCCATTGCAGAATTGAACACAAAAGTGCTTTTAGCCAGCTAGAAGGGAGGAAAACCTTCATATTATGCCGCTTTTTTGTCATTTGACCAGTTATTCTAAAGGTGATGAAAAGGTGAACTGAACTAACAAAACGAAAAGAGATTCAACATTCAAAACGTTAATATATCAGACTATATACAAGGTTATTCAAATGTCGACTCAAACTTTTGAAAAAATCGTTTATTGAAAATATATGAATTTTATTAATTTGAGCACCCCTGTATAATACTAAGGGAATTTATAATGCGCTTTCCTAATGTGATTTTAAGCGAAACGTAAAATTATTTACGGATTAAATAATTATAAATAGTTTTGCGAATTTCCATAAAATAAAAATATTTAATTTTATGTTTTATATATGGCATCATTCCTAAGGTTGCCATTATTATCAACATTTCAAAACATCATGCCAATTCTCATGTCATTTCATTCAACTAGTCAGTCTAATGTCGGCTGTTAAAGACGAAACGCGAAGCGCCGGCTGCGCGAAAATCGCAAAAATTCGATGTTTTTTCCAATTTCTTGCGAAAAATAGCCGATTTTCTCAAAATGCAGGTTCGATGGCACCGTTTTTGCATATTTTCCCGACCGGAAGTGTGATTTTAGCCGAAAGAACGCGATTTTCATGCCAAGGCAATTTTTGACATTTGCTGTCAAATTAAAGCTAACCAACATCATCCGCAACCGGGTATGTTTACATCGCATTGGTGGATATTTGAAGTTTTAAATACTTTTCGGTGTTTCCTCATTATTTTGAGGACTTTGCCCCTACATCCATCGGAAACAGCGTGCTCAACTAATGGTGAGTGCGACTTTGATCCCCTCTCAAAGTTTAGTAGCATTTAAATTAATGCCCATATTTTTTTAAAGCAAAGTTAGTGAAACTGAGCAAAAGGAGAATGCAACAAACAAATGAAAATTATCACCAAAAATTGAACAGTAATTGGAAATTTAAGTTGAAAATAGTTCAGCCAAAAATGTGAAATTTATTTCACTTACTACTTAACAAGAACTGCCGATTTAAAAAAACTATTTAGTATTAAAGTACAAATAAATCACATCATCTACGTCTAATTAATCGCCAGGTTGCTGTTAATTGTTAAAATCCCATTCACTGGGCTTCCATTATTTTCAAAAATTGTTGCTCTCTAACGAGTGTTGTAAATTAGATCGTAAACTAATTAGACCAAAGCAAACAACATCATTAAATATTTTATGCGTAATTCCAAATTCACTATTAGTGCATTGATTGCAAATAAAATTGAGGAAATCATATCGTTTTCGAATGCGGACGCTCCAATTTCCAAGCAGTAACTACCGGCTATTAAACAGTGATTCTCATCGAGTCTACGTCGTTCCAAACATCATTGATCGACTCAATAATAATAGGTTCTTGGAAACTGAGAATATTATCTCAGTCAATAACATTTTTAATAGATCATTGAAGTAGGAGCGTAGCTTATCTTGCTCTAACTATTTCCCACTCTAAAAGCTTTGAGAACGTTTGTACCAGATACAAACGAAACGTTCAAAAATTGCTGGTAGAAACCACCACTAGAATTCAGGGTGCCGTTTCGAAAATCTCTATTAATTTCGTTAATCCGCTGTTGTTCTGGCTTTGTGTTTGTTTTATTTACTGCTGTGTTTATAACTCGTGATTTCAGGGGGTTTGTGGCCACTCCTGAGGATTTAATTACATTAAGAGGAGACAATCCAGATTCGCTCTGAAGCGGAAACACTTAGTTGTCAGTGGCGTTATATTTTAAGATTTGTAAGTAAAATACACTTCAGCCATAATTTATTGCTGAATTCTATTAAAGTTTCCCGGTGGTTTTTGGTTATTCGTAGATTCGCTATGGAATTAGCGATTTGTCTTCTTTAAAGTCTCTCTTTGTTGAAGTTTTTAACTTCTTAGGACTTTGAACAATCGTCCCCTTTCGCTTAGCTAAGATTTACAGTTCTGGTGCAAAAATTGTAAGGCATTAGTTATGTCGGCTAAAACGTTTCTTATGCACAGGGTGATTGAAAATTGGCCTAATGGCTTTGAAAGTTTTGTTTAGATTTTTACAAAATAACGCTTCTCTCATTAACGTAACCACCTGGTGTTTTAGTCATTAATCGACAAAGAAAACCCGGAAATGTATGCATGTTTGACAGTGTTATACACAAGTATGTGATTTTTCATCGAAACAGAATTATATTTTTTTTCAAATGCAAATGTTTTGCTGTTGCGCTAATACATGTTTCCGCTCCATAAAAAATTAATTGCCTTTAGATTTACTGCACTTTAATCAGTTTGATGTATTATTTCTATTTGATAAATTACACAATAACCTCCCGAAT